GATCAATACACTCTCGTCTTCGCCAACTGCCTCCTGCAACTTCAGGTTTCCATGGATGTTCGATCCGCCATGTACAACCTCGAACCCAAGACCGGCCGCCGGGACTATCTCTCCGCCGGGAAGACCGTCCTCCCCAGGATTTACTTCCTCCTTTCCTTGATTTATTTCACTCTTGCCGTTGTTTGGATCTACGTTCTTTACAAGAAGCGATTGACGGTTTACGGAATTCATTTCTTTATGCTTGCCGTTGTGGTCTTGAAGGCTCTCAACCTTCTCTGCGAGGCGGAGGACAAGTCGTACATTAAGCGCACCGGCAGCGCCCATGGCTGGGATGTACTCTTCTACATATTCAGTTTCTTAAAGGGCATCACGTTGTTCACTTTGATCGTCTTGATCGGGACTGGTTGGTCTTTCTTGAAGCCTTATTTGCAGGACAAGGAGAAGAAGGTGTTGATGGTTGTGATCCCGCTTCAGGTGGTGGCCAACATTGCTCAGGTTGTGATTGATGAAACTGGGCCTTTTGAGCAAGATTGGGTCACTTGGAAGCAGGTGTTCTTGCTTGTCGATGTCATCTGCTGCTGTGCGGTTCTATTCCCGATTGTTTGGTCGATCAAGAACTTGCGGGAGGCCGCCCGAACCGACGGGAAAGCGGCTGTGAATCTGATGAAATTGACCCTTTTTAGACAGTATTACATTGTGGTTATATGCTACATCTACTTCACCAGGGTTGTAGTTTATGCACTGGAGACGATTACTTCATATCGGTATCTTTGGACCAGTGTGGTGGCTGGGGAATTGGCAACTCTTGCATTCTACGCATTCACTGGTTACAAGTTCAAGCCTGAGGCCCATAATCCCTATTTTGTAGTTGATGATGAGGAGGAGGAGGCAGCTGCTGAGGCACTGAAGCTTGAAGACGAGTTTGAATTGTGATCAAGTAGAAGAAGAAGAGGGGTGCTGTGCTGCAATGTGTTCTGTTGATTGTGAGTTTTTTGAGGTAGAAAAATTCTCCTTCTCAGTTTAAAATATATGTGGCTTTTTTGTTTTCCCAATCTGGCAATTACAGGCATGGCATGTTGTTTTTTTGATATTTTGTAATTTCCATCTCTCTAAGTCTGTAGAATAACATATCAATGTCTGTGATTTGGATAGCGTGTACACATACTGACCATAACGCATAGTTGTATCTTTTATGAGTAATTCTTGTTGTTCATTTTTTGCTCCTCATGGCTCAGGAATTTGTGTTTTCCCCTTGTGAGTTAGAATAATTCTCTGAGTTTTCTGTTTTCTGATATCCTATCCAATTACTTGTGTGGGCATTGAGGTTTTTTCTTTTGGTGGCATTTGCTATGACAAAAACCAATACATGGCACGGATTCACGACTCTTTTTTGGCTAAAATTGTGAAGCTTAGAGGTCTGAATCTCCACCCCACTTATTGTTAGAACTAAAGAACCACTTTTTGGATTCAGATCTTTGGTTTTTACTGACTCTGAGTTTCAAATTTACTGGATATATGATGCATGATAGTAGAGAACTAATGGATGGGAAGGAAATTTGCAGGGTTAATAGTAGGCAAATGATCCAGTAGAAATCATGGCAGAGTGTTCATATTTTGATAATTATTTGAGAGGTTTAACTAATATGGGTGTGATGTTTGCTTTTAAGTGACTTACAAATGTGGAATGAATTTAGCAAAGTCGTTGCCCCATGAACAATGTCAAGAGTTCATTGGTGTGATAAAAATATAATATATGATAGATAGTTATATCATATTTTACTTTCCATAGCTAATA